CTAGTGGATTTGGCAGGAAGTGCTATTTTTTTTTTTTTTCTGTTGGGACCTCTCAGTCTCTTACTCCATTTAGGCTGTGGCTTCCCACAGTCTGAGTGCTTGCGCTCTCTCAGCAGGCTGGGAAAAAGCCGAGCGACCCATCCACGTTGCCCAGCCCTGAGCAGGTAGCGCTGGCCGGCAGTACACCGGGAAGTAGCTGGCCGTGAAATTTGAAAAGGGGAAGCATAAAGTCCTGCCCCCTTTGCTGTTCCTGGGGGATACGGTTGTCACGCTGACGAGATACTCCAAGTGAGGTTGACTTGCAAAAAACCGGGTGTGAAACAGATTTTGAATGGCAGGGAGGGAGGTATCTGTCGCACACTGTTGTCCTGGGAGCACGGGTGCCGGCAGGGGAAGTATCGCAGCTCTGGCATTTAATCCCGTGCAGTGTCCCGGGGGCAAGGCTGCGGCTCCTCAGAGGGTGTCAAAGTTGTGTTATTTCCCCCTCTTCTCGTGGCTGGGAGGGTTCCTCTGCAGAGGCCGTGGCCTCCCTCATGGCAGGCACTGTGCTGCAGAGAGCAAAACAGCAGAGGAGTTGTTTACAGAGCAAACTTAAACCTGCTTTGCAACTCTTTCCTTGGGAAGACTGTACAAATTCCGCTTTGCAGCCTTTTGCTCCTGGATTATTGGAGCCAGTTGCTGTTTCACTGCCAGCACCTGCTCAGCCCTCACCTGTGGGGGAGGCTGCAAAGCATCTCCCCTTCTAAATCCCGTGTGCCCGGGTGTAAGTGCTGTGCCTCTTCCATGCCAGGTTTGGGTGGCCCAGCCTGGGGGATGAGCAGTGGGATAGGGCTTCGGTTGCCCCTCGGTCTGCTCATGGCTCATCTCTTTTCCATGCTGCTGGTCTGGCTGCATTAATGGGGTGGCACACATTAGTCTTTGTTAGCTGCTCTTTCTCTTATTTTGTATCCTGTGGCACACGTTAATGCCAAGCATGATCCATATGAAACCCAGCTTCCGAATTTGTGGGTTTCTCCAGCAGCTCCTGATGCCAGATGCAGAATGCAGGTGGCTTAGGCAATTACTCCACCCTTTTATTAGATTGCTGGAGATTAATTAAATGCTTACACTCCTTTAGTTCCTTTTATCCCTAAGAATCCCGAGCGCTTAAACCCGTGTGGCTCTTCTTTCGGCCAGGCACCCAGCGCAAGTCACAAAAATGAGGAACTCTGATTTAGAGCAGAACGTTGGGGGAAGATTAAAGAAGAAAAATGCTTGGCTGGAGCGCCGGGACTCGCGTGCCTGTCTCCTAAAAACCTCCTGGGATTGCTGATAGCGCGGGTGGCGGGGATCCCGGTGTTACAGCCCTCAGCAGCTGGATCAGCGGTCTCTGCTCCAGCAGCCTGGGATTCCTGATGAGCTTGCTTGGGGCTCACCACAGGGGCGTAACACAGGCCTGAGTCGGTATGCACTGATCTATTGTTTTAAGTTTTAATTTTATTTTTACACTCAGACCTACGCTGTCTGTTGCTGTCTTTAAATGGCACACGTAGTGGATGCAATGCGTGTTTTGGTTCACCAGTAGCTGTTGCCATCCTTGCTGATGTTCCCCTTGCTTCTCTCCCGAGGGAGCCCCAGTGTCCCAGGGTGGATGGCCGCAGGCAGTTAGGATTTGGGCTCTTTTCAAGCACAGAGTGACGGACTTGCTCTGAAGCAAGTGGTGCTGTCACATGCGATGCTTTCAGGAGACTTGTGTGCTCGTCCCCACTGGAGCTACTTGCAGCCATATGCTCTGGCACGGGGACACCGAGTCTGAGCGAAGTGTCCTCTAAGGATTACGTTAATCCATTTTCTGGAGATAAATCCAATAGTTGGAAAATCCCACTCCGTCTTCTTAGGAATAGTAATACATTTCACACTTCTGGATCTGTTTTAATTGGCCACCCCTCTTGGCATCAAACCTCTCTGTGTCCCTGAGGCGCCTCAGCCAGGCTGCTGGGAATTGGGGGAGCTGGCTCCGAGGGAAGGCAGGGCATTCGCTTTCTTCTGCATCTTGTGATCTGAATTGTTGAATAAAATCAAAAGCCTGGCCTCTTGAGTTAGCTGAAGCATTCGGATGAAAGAGCTGGGAGCCGCATGCAGCGTGGCACAGTGGAGCAGGCATAAATTCCCACTTGTGCAATGGTTTCCTTGTTAAATAAATGGGTATGTAGAGAGTGAAGCCTCCTCCTTCCTCCTCCACCTCTCCGCTCAGCACTTCTCCTCTGGTCGGGGTGAGGAGGAGGGGGATGTGAGCTTACTCCTTATCTTCCCAAAGCCTTGGTTCTGCAGTACAAAACCCAAGGGTCAGCTTGTGCAACACCAGCAATTCTGTGCATTCAGAAATCATGACTCAGGCTACTCCAACGCCTCCAGAGAGATCAGCGTGTAGAGAGAATTAAATGGGGTGGTGGAGCCTGCCATTGGACTGCCGGACCCACTGTCCATTCGTGTGCAGGGGTGCTGGGTGCTGCGGCATTTGCACGGGGAAGCCATTACTGGGCCCCCATCATTAGAGCTGCTCTCAGGAGCCCACTGGGCTGGGCTCTCCTCCTGCCCTGGAGATCTTGTGGTCCAGAGCAAGGGCCTGCCTACCAAGTACCCATTATTTGGAAACAGCTATTAATCCTTCAGTCTTTAGGCTCGTTAATCCATTCGCAGTGCCCTAATGTACATGGTTCCCAATGAAGGGGTGAGGTGGGTGCAAGGACCCTCTCTGCTCCTCCCTGATCTGCAGGCGAGGGGAGAAGGGGCTGTCCAAGCAAACCTTGGTCCTCGGGTGGACCCACCGCCTGCAGTCCAGGACTGCCATGGGCTGGGACGAGACGTGCTGAGACCTGGCTTTCCTGATATCAGACCTGTTTGCAGATAAACGTGGGATTGGAGGTTTGGGAGGATTGCTGCTGTTCTGGGCAGGTGGGGTGTTGGGGTTTGGGTGGTGGTTCCCCCCCCCTGCCCCCCCCAGGCATTTTCTCTCATGTTTGTCAGTACTTTCCTCTGCTTTTGTGCGTGGGAAACTGAAGTTGAACCGAGCATCTGCTGCTGTCTATGTTTGGAGATGGGACATGAAGGAGACTAGTCTGATCCAGTATGTCCCTTCCTATGAAGCCCCCCAGCTCACCTGCCGCCACCTTCCCGGGGCTGCCAGCACTGGCAGTGCCTGCCGGTTGCTGCAAAGATAATCACTTTATCAGGAAAGGGATTATAGCCTCAGGTGAACACTAAGCAGCAAATGCATGTGTGTTTCCACTCTCGTGTATATTTTTATGTATGTAGGGGCTGTACAGAAAAGCGTTTGAAGTGAGCTGAGTTGCAGGCAGCTCCGATTGCGGTCTTCGGTTCCCCTCCTCTGCTTCAGGCTCCCTTCACGGCAAGATTCCCTTTCCTGGAGGGCTGGGAAGCCCGAGGCAGGTTGTGTGAAGCTCTGCACCTCCTTAGCTGCCTGGGAGAGACTTGGCAGCTTTATTTGGGGGCTGTTTGTACTGGCAGCTCTGGAGTATGGTGTGCTCTGTCAGGGCTGCACAGCCCGGAGCAAAGCTGCAGTGTGATTTAGCCCGGGATTGCTTGCTCAAGGCTATAAATAACCTTCCCAAGTGCCACGAAAGTTCTCATCTGAAACAGTGGCATATTTCTGCCATACTTGTTAAGTCAGTTCACAGGCTGCTTAGTGAAGCTCTTAGCAAAAAAAAAAAAACAAAAAAAAAAACCAAAAAAAACCCTAACTCTGCCGGGATTTGGCAGAGCTGCCTGTGCCCAGACTGTGGGTACCGGCCAGGCAGCGCGTGGGCTCAGCAGATGCCAGAAGGTCCTGAGGAAGAAGTGACAGGGGTGGGATGCTCCCAGCCCTGCTTTCTGGCCGCTGAAGTGCTCCAGTCTCGCGCATCCCGTACACGAGCGCCTGTTAAGGCTGTAGCTGGGTGTAAGCACAGGAAGCTCAGCCCCTGCGTGGGGGGCAGCTGTGGGCGGTGTGGCTGGGTGGGGTACGGAAACAGGGGCGAGTGGACGGCCCTTCTTTATTGGCATGGAAAAACTTCAGCTCTGCTGCTGCACCCCCTCGCTCCTGGTGTCCCTGCTGCAGGGCTGTATCCTGCTGCAGAGGTGTCTCCCCTTGTTGCGTGAGCTCCATTTTGGCCAGTGAGAGGGGAGGGTGGGTATGGTGCACATGGCTCTGGTGGGCGCTGAGGTCTTGTCTTGGGACCCCCAGAGCTCTGTGTTGCTGGTGCTCGAGCCCCTGCTGCAGCTCATAGGCAGCGCAAGAGTTTCCAGGATCAGCAGGCAGGTAAGCACTAATATCCTTAGGGATAGCTTGACCAGTGGTGCCTGGCACAAGGTGTCCCTGTGTTGATGCCCGCTGGCTGGTTGCGTAGCTCTGGATGAGTCTGACACGCTGCATTAAACTACCTGGGTCCCAGGGCTGGATGCACCCCAGTGTCCTCAGGGTGCAGAGCCCAGTTAAGGGAGGGCAGGGAAGAGCTGGAGCCCTCCAGCTCAGCAGAGAGCCCGTTGCACCCGCCTGCTGGGCTCAGGCTGGAAAGCCGAGGCTTTTTTCCATTGAAGTCAGCTGGCATCCTGGCTTTTCCGTCTGTTTTGGCCTCTGAGCCCACACCACCGCAGTCTGAGTAAACTTCCCCCCTTTCCTTCCAGCGAGGCTGGGTGTTCCTGGGGTACAGGGCAGAGCTGGGGCCATGCCAGCCCAGCCCCCTGGCTCTCTGGGTGAAGGCTGTGCATGGGAGAGTGGGAGCCCTGGGACAGCAAATTGGATTTCTCCTTGCTTTCCTTGACCACAGCAGCCCCGGGAGAAGCCCTTATCAGCCAGGCTGCAGAGAGGCTGGGTGTTTCCCTGGGCGCTGGGGAAATAAAGAGATTTCAAATCTCCAGGCTCAGGGTGCCTGGCTGGGAACTGGTGCCTGAGCACTTTGGCCCTTGCTTCGTGGCACAGCCGTGTGTCACGGGGCTGACATCCCAATACCTGGTGTGGCCTCATGCCGCCCGGGACTCTCCAGAAATCTTGGGACCCTCGTACTCTGTATCTATCTGATGCCTCCCGCCTGGCTGCCGGTACCTCGGGTAACCCCTCCCCAGCCCGGTTGCAGGGTCCCCTGCCCAGACGAGGCCCTCCTGGCCCCGAGGATGGCTGTGTAGCCCGTGGTGCGATGCCCCAGCCTGGGGCTGGTGCCAGCATGTCTCCTCTGCCTGCCTGCCGTGCTGCCTGCCTGCCTGCCTGCAGCTCTTCTGCAGAAGCAGTGGGTCTTCATCTGTGGCAAGCTCTCTGACCCAGGGCAGCTTTTGAAGCTGGAAACCCAGCAGCCAGCCAATCGAGGCTCCCCTGTAAGTTGGGTATGATTCAGCCCTGACCTTTGTACGCAGTGTCGGGCTGGCGGAGAGGCAGCGTGCCTCCCTCGGGAAGGCGGCAGCTCCTCTCCAGGAAGGCTTTCGCTGCCCACCACTGCCCACCACCCGCAAGGGATCTCATCAACACCCCTTGGAAGGTGTCCCTCTGTCAGGGATGCGATCGGCCTTCGGTTTTCCGAAAATATCTGCCACCTGCTGTCACAGAAAGAGCGCCTTCTCAAGAAAATTCATTTCTGACAGAGCAGAAAATGAGCCATATTAAACAACCTCAAGGAAAAATGAGAAACTAAGTGACTTGTGCAAACATTGCTTTGGCAAAATGCACTCCTTTGTTTTCTTGTTTTTTTTTTTTTCCTCTGGCCTGGGGAGGACTGGTATTTCCCTGAACTGGGCAGGTCTTTTGTAAGCCATGGGCTGAGCGTGCATGGTGTGGGCTGCGTCTGGAGGCCCCTTCCAGCCATGCCTGGGGCAGACAGGGGAGCCTATTTGCCTGGGAGGGGGACAGCAAGCAAGCTCCCTTCATGTGCTGAGAAGCCCGATGGGTGACGGCCACCAAGCCTGTGCAATGGGAGGGAGAGGGGCTGCCCTTTCTAGGGTCCCTGGAAGGACTGATGGAAGACTGGGTCCTACACACAGGGATGAGGAGCAGTGGGGTGAGCAGGGGACTGAAAGCACCCCGCAAAATATGTGCGTTGTGCCTGCCTGCCCGTGCTGCCGGGCGACACAGCCGCAGTGGCTCTGGCCGTTTGCAATGGGAGGGCTGCCTTTGTGGGGCTGCCAGAGGGCCTTGTTACAGGAGGGACCCCCTTGGCTGCCCATTCACTGGCGCTCCGAGCGGGCGGCCTTTCTCCTCCTAATTGGGCCAGGGAGGAGGGGGTGCCTGGGACTGCCCTCCCCACCGAGCCAGCCGTGCCCCCCGCCTGCAGAGCGTGGGGATCGGTGACCCCCTAATCCCACCTGGCTCTTGGGTGCAGGTGGGGGGGCTCCACCTCTGCCCCACATCCGTCGGCAGAGTGGTGGGGCCACAGATCTGGAGGCGATTATTTGGGAAAGCTGTGTCCTGCATATGTGCATATGGTTTCCTCCTCCTCCTCCTTGGTTCCCCGGGGGCTTGGGGAGGGTGGGTTCTTTCATGGGTTTATTTTCTTTGTCAACTCTCTTTCACACAGCTTTATTTTCCTTCCTTTTGTCTTGGGCGCCTTCCTTTCTCCTCCACAGGCTCAGCCCCGGCCCTGCTGCCTCCCTTTCCCGCAGGGTTGACCTGCTGGCTCAGATGCTGGCCCAAGCCCTGGGAGCTGGGACATCAACCCCTGAGGGGATCAGGGCCACCGCTGCGCCTGGCACCTCACTTGGGGCACATAGATTTTAAAGGAAGGCAAAAGCCCATGTCTGGGGTCTGGGAGCCCCCATGCTCGGGGGTCCCTGGGTCTCAGCGTTGGGGTGGGATGAGGGGGGAGTCCTCTGCCCTGGAGGCTCCTGCTGCTTTGCTGGTCCTTGCGTCTGCCTCACCTGCTTGTTACCACACCTCTTCCCGAAATGAAAGTTGGTGCTGTGAGTAGGAGGGCTGGAGGAGAGCAGAGCAGGAGCAGCCCTTGGTGCGCTTATTGCCTGCAAATCACTAATATGGGTGGTTTCTCAGGCCATCCCCGCTCCTTGCCTGGGAAATAGTCATTTAGCTGAAAGGCCGACCTCCACAAGTCCACATTTTTGGGATGATACTCATCACATTGTGAAGGGTTACTCCTCTGCAGTGCAGTTCCTGCTTGTGATTTCTGCCCTGAAGGCAGAAATAATCTGGGGAGACTTTGTCCATCTGTTGAGCTTTATGAAACGTGCAAAAAATACCTGCCTCCAGAGTGGAGGGGGAGGTGGGTGTTTTTGGAGCTGTGAGCACAGTAATTGTGTGAAGTGAGCCCACACGGGGGCTGGAGGTGCCACGGGCTCTGGTGGAGCCACACTCCTGGGTGCAGGATGCAGCAGGATGCCCTGGAGCCCGGGTCTGGAAGCGGAGGTGAATCCTGCGTGGTTTGTGACCTGAGCCCCTTGGTTCAGGTGCTTGAAAGCATGGGCTGGAGGGGAATAGCTGAATAAAGAGGCATGTGTAGGACAGCATCAAGACACTTCCTACTGGTGGTGCTGTTTTTCAGAAGAGCCATCCAAACAGGTCCAAGGTAGTGTCTGGTTTCTGCTCCATCACTTGCTTATGGGGCGGCCCAGCCCTGCTGGGCTTGCACATGCAATTACAGGCATGACTGAGTGTTGCTGCTGGCCAAGGTTGTGGTTGTCAGCCAGGAGGTTGAGCCAGCAGTGGACGGGGCCATCTCCTGCCCAGCTGATGGCTGCCACTGCTTGCCCTGTCCTTGTGCATGGCTGTACTCTGTGCTCGCCTGTGCAAGGAAAGCGATTAATTACCCCTCCGACGACAGTGACCTCATGCTGTTGGGAATAGCTAGAAGAAGATAGGTATCCACTGGCTGTCCCTTTTGCTGGCAAAAGTCTGTCCTTCTCCCAATTTAAGTTAAGAAGTCTCCCTTGCAGGTGAGTGGGAAGCAGTGGGAAGCAGTGCCTTACCCAGCAGATGAGCGGCATGAGGAGGCTCGGAGGGAGAGGTGCTGTGGAGCCAACACATTCACCTGATGGGGGGAGACAGTGAAAGGCTTCTCCCTTACATGCTGCACGGTGGCTGTGTGCTCAGGGCTCTGGCTGCCTCAGCCCTCCTTCTCAGCTCCTACTTTTTTCTGATGGTTTCCAGACTTTATATAAGAAAAGGGAATCGACTGATATCAAAGACGCCTCTCTTAATGTGAGCTGAGCCTTTGAAGGGCTGGGAAGGCTCCGTTTGGGGGATGTGACTAAAAACTTATCGAGACTTGTGCTTTTGCAGTCGGGCACTCAGCAGTTGGGGTCTGGGCAGTTAATGCCGCCTTTGCTGGCGGTGTGCATCGTGGGCTTTAATTCCCGGTTACATAAAGCTGCCCTGCACTGTGGCAGCCTGCTCGGCACGTGACGAACACGCCAGCTGTTTGGTGTTTATTTTTATATCCTTTCTCTTCACATCTACTCTCAGCACTGACTGCCCAGTGCTGGTCGCTGGACGCCTGCCTCCATCTGCACCCGAGGCAGGAGCCGTGCGGCTGGGGACGGCCTCGGCATGTGGGTGGGCTTGTTGAGTTCGGGACGTGAGTGCGGAGCCTTAGCAAGGAGGGCTCTCTGAGACGGCACGCACACACAAAACCCAAGGTGGTCGTGCAGCCCCCGCTCCGTGCCCTCGATAGAGGTGGCAGCAGCGTCCCAGTGGAGAGGAGCTGGGAGTCCCGCAGTGATGCTGGGTGAGAAATAACCCCTCTCTGCGGCCTCTGCCTGTACGGCGACCCCTAGCACGTGTTCGGCCATTTAAGCACCCGTCTCGGCGCTAGTGCTTGAAACCAGTGACCTGGGTTTTCACGGTGTCAGCAAAGGTTATGGCCGTATTCACAGGAACATACAGCCCTGCCAGGTTTAGTGCCCATGCTGCGCTGCCGAGGGTTACGTCAGCGCTTGTGTCGAGATGAAGCGTGGGAGCACAGGGGGCTAGTAAATAGACTCAAAACGCTTTTCTTCTAACTACACGTTTTTAGCGCTCTGCATTGACTCTTCATTGCTTGTCTGTTTTCTGATCCTTCTTCTGAATCTGCCCTCTTCCATTTTATTTTTAAAAAGGTTTTTGTTCGGCATCTCTCCGTGCTGGGTCGCAGCGGTGCTGCCTTTGGTCCCCTTTGAATAGCAAAGCGGCTCCTTTATTCTGGAGGCTTGGCCTGGAGGCTCAGCATTGCTGCAAAAACAGCAAAGGGTTTGGCAGGGCTGTAATTAAATAGTGAAGGGTCTGTCACAGGACAGGTTGCCCTGGCTATTTTAGGGATATTCCAATATCCAGGTCTATAATAGATGATTCAGCGCAGCCAAGGGGATATTGGATTATGCCTCCATACTTTGATCACGGCATAGATGAATGAGTCCTGCTGGCCTGATTACTGAAGTTATTTTATTGTTAGAATAAGGGCGGCTGAATTCTTGAAACGTTGTGGTGAGGGAACAGCTTTGTGGTGGGAGGCATGCAAGGCTTCAGATGCAGTGAGCAAAATGATGCCTGTTCCCCAGAAGTGACCTTGAGTTCCCTCCGGGGATGCCATTGAGGCCATGCTGGGACTGTGAGATTTCCAGTGCTGTAGAAACTCGACTAATCTGCTCTTTCTTTCCCCCTAGTACATTGGGAGCCTGGATGTGCCGCGGCCAAACAGCCGAGTGGAGATCGTGACAGCCATGCGGCGGATCAGGGTGAGTGTGGTGAGGATGCTCCTTCCCCTTCTGCATTGGGTTAGCCGGGGCACCACTCCTCCATCTCTGCTTACAGCCTTCTCTCACATAAGTCCTGTCCTCCAGGTTATTCATAACTCTGTATGTTTCACCATCCCTCTCTCCACTGAGATCTCCGTGTAACCCAGGCACAGTGCCTGCAAGCTGCTTGTGCCGCACCATCGCGCGTGGAGCGTCCCCAAGCACTGGCTGTGCCCCATGGTACCTGGGCATCCCGTGTGCCGTGGCTGGCGTTAGCTGCATCCCGAGCGGCGGCAGGGCTGCCTCTGTGCTCACGGTGCTGTGTCCCATGCAGGAGCGTGTGCTGCGGGGGCAGGGATGGGGTGGAAGGTGGGTGTGGGACGTGGGGCTGCTGGTGCCAGACAGAAACTAGTATGTCCGCGATTCGTAAGATTTCCTTGTGTGTCAGTCCCAATTCAAAGGTAACAGCAAACTACTCGTGGAAGAGGTACGTTTGTGTTTTACTGCTTGCATAAGTACTTCAGCTGCATGAAAATTCGGGCGCTGCCTGGATATGCCAGCAGGTTAGTGCCTGGTAAATGGCAATGTGCAAATTAAAGTGCTGAGTAGTGAGCTCTGGGGCCGGCCAGCAGCGAGCTTGTTTAACAGCGAGTAGGTCAGGGAATGTCAGCTGGTAATGAAGTCATCTGGCTTCCCAAAATACTTATAGCCAGGATACGGGGGGCTGTTGCCATATAATGCTTGGCCAATAGCCAGGAGAGGAGCTTTTCCTCTGCATCCCAGCCTCTCGCCTGCACAAATGGAAGGTATTCAAGGGCGGGCTGGGAGGTGAGCAAACCACCCACCCGGCGAGGTCGCTGCCCCAGGCTTAAACCAGCAGGAGCTTTGACTGCTCTCTGATGCAGAAGACAGCCCTTTGGGCAGTGATTGGACCTTGGTCCAACATACGTGGTGGTGTGGCCGCAGGCGCGGGTAATTTGGTCTGCTCCATGGGTCACAGCAAGGGGCTGCCCTGTCTTCCAGGGATGGCTCTCTCCTGGGAATAACACTCTTAATTGGAAGGAGCTGAAGATGGTTGCAGGGGCATTGAGTAATGGATGAGCTGTCTTTCTGATGGCCTCGTGGGATGCCACGAGCACTGGACCTGCTCGTGTGGCTGAGCAGCCCTACTGGGGCTCGACTGTCGCCCTGCTCCTCTCCAAGTCCCTCCTGTGGGCTCTTGCTATAATCTCGTTTTCCCTTTCCTCATCACCAGAGGAGGAGAGGAGTATCATATCCCTAGGACACAGATTGCGAGGCTCTTCTGTTTCAAACTTCCAGTGTGTAAATACTTTGTGGACTTTTCTCAGCAGCTTTCCTACCCACTGCCCTGGTTAATGTTGTGGCTGGTGCACAAGTTGAGAAGTCCTTTATGGCATTAGGTTTGCTCAACTTAGTTCCAAACAAGGTTTGGGACAGAACAACTGTTACACCGTCAAGAGCTCTTATAAACAGCTGTTTCCTCTGCTGCCTTTCAAGATGAGACTTTTGAAAGAATGCAGCTCTGGCCCCAAAATCACATAATTCCACATTGGTATGGGAGGATTGGCACAACTTTGAGGGCTTAAATAAACCCTAGGAAAAATAATCCACCAAAACGTCCTTGGTTGACCAATATAAAGAAACTTAAGCATAGTCTAGAAAATTCATAGATAAAGCACTGAATGGGGGGGGGAAGGACACAAATGAGGGTAAAATAATGATTTTTCATCATGATTGATGTGCTTGAAACATGTGCTCAGGCTTTCTTGATCTAGTGTAAGACGGGAGAGATGCAAGTCATTGAAAGGCCACGAGTTTGCAGATCAGTTCTGCCAGAGACTTTTAATGTCTGTTTATTTGTTGCGGGGTGCTGTTTGTGAAGAGGACGCCAGGATGTTTGTTTGACGGGAGTTTATGCGTGTAGCCCTTCCCTGGTTTCCTGTGTTTTGCCCTGGCCTTGCACCCAGCAGCAAGATGTTACTGCAGCGTTGCAAGGGCATTTGCTGGCTGAGCTGGGCGCCGGAGGCTGGTTTCAGTTTGGCTGGAGGTCAAGGAATGCGTGTCCTTCTTAAAGCAGAAGGGTAGTTGTGTTCTTTAAGGAATAAAGTAATCCCAAAATATTGGCATGGGGAAACCAGAGGAAGAAAAAGCTCATTTAGGCACAGAAAGCAAGCGATGGGAGATCTTCAAGTGCAAGCTGCAGCAGTTCTGCATGTGGAATGTGAAGCAGCTGCTGACCCTGAGGTTTGTACGGGTTTTAATGCAGTCCATGGTTTAGGGGGAAAGTGCTGTGTCCCAGTTTGTTCTGAGTTAGTCGCTGCTGGTGGAGGGGGACCCTCGCCATCCCCCCTGCCGCTGCAGCTCCCCTTTCTCAGTGCTGCCTTCGCCTTAGCTGCTCTCTGGGCTTTGCCTCTATTTACTAAATGATAAAAAAAGTGATCCTGCAAAGAAGTGAGGAAGCACCTTGCCCGACAGCGGGGGTCCCGAAGGGGAGAGCGCCCTGGAAGCCCCCCATAACTGCCTGTGCTGGGCTGGGAGCAGGGAGGGACGGGCCACGAGCAGCAGCAGCTCCTGCAGCGCTGCCTCCGCTCTCCTCCCTGGCAGTCGGGACTCGGAGGGCGAGTGCCACGGGCCGGCTGATCCCGGCTTCCTGTTTAGATAGAGACCTGACCCTTTGGGGGCAAAGAGGAGGACACGGCATAGCTGGCATTGCTGGGATTCCTGCTCCAGGCCAGGCTCTGCCACCCTGCTGCCGCTCTCTGGAGAGCAAAGCAGAGCAACGGCCGTGGGCAGAATGGCTCCACCAGAGCAAGATGTATATATTAAGCCCAAATCTGGTCCCTTTTGTGGATCTGGGTTGAGAGGGACTTTATACAGGGAGTTGGTGTTGCAGGGCAGGGATGCCATCCCCTTCCTCCCCCCTGCTGAAGGGCTGGCAGTAGCATGGCCATCCTCCCAGTGCTGGCCAGAGGGAGGGTTTCTGTCCAAAAGCAGGAAGATGATGGAGAATTCCCGGGATTCTGGCACCTCGGGGGTGAGGAGGGAAGGGGAGGTGCTCAGCCAGCTGCCTCTGCCTTCCTGCTTTTCCTGCCTGCATTTGCTGGGCTTGCTGGGGACACAGCCCCAACTTGCTCTGCGTCTTGGTGCAAATCCCTGGCCCTGAAAGGACTAGGTGGAACGGGACACTAGCCATGCCAAGGATGCACTTGGACAGCAATTTTGTGAGCATTTGCTGCAGCTTTCCTCCAAAGCCTATGTCTCCTGGCTTTCCTGCAGAGCACCAATGGCCATGTCAGTACTAATAAATACAGTAGGCCAGGGCTTGTTTTCCTGGCAAGTGTTTGGGCTTGTGTTCATACAACTGAACCCCTTCTCCTCCTCATCCCAAAACAGGGTGACCCAGTCCATGTTGCTTCATGCCCTAAGGTGCTGGGGTAGGTTGGCCTTCAAAATGCTCCTTGGCTCCTCTGGATGCAAGGTGCGAGAAACCGATCTGTGAGTCCAGATAGTTACCCATGGGCACCTTAACATCAAAAAGTCCCAAGCTCAACAGTAATTAAATGGTTGTTAAAGCTGCAGCCGGCCTGTCCTGTTGGCGTAAGCTCAGGGGACCTTCCTTGCCCAGGATCTCCTGGGAAGCAGCAGCCCAGAGGCCACAGTGTTCTTCTGCTCTGTGCCAGTCATGGGTAAAGCTCGAGAAATTCAGATGGGAGCTCATGAGAGTGCTCTGGGACGGGTCATACGTCTGTCAGTTACTGAAGAGGGTGTTACGGTACTGAAGAGCAAGAGCCCAACCAGTGCATCTTCCCAACCATAAGGACTATGACTTGTTGAAGATTTCAGTTTAAAGTGCCTGAGCTAGCTGCATGACATCCTTTCTTTTCTTTTTTTTTTTTTTTTCCCCTTTCCCAGAATGGCTGAGCACATGGCGCCCTAAACGACGACGATAACAATGATACGTATTTTTTTTATGTTGTCATGATGTAAATATATGCAAATGCTTTCCTCTCTGTGCTCCTGGCATGTCTCCAGTGCAGCCAGTGCTACCTGGCTGGGGCTTGGTGTGGTTGTTCTAGAGAATTTGGAATCAACCATTTTTTGCTGCTTGGATTGCTGAATGCAGCTTTAATCCAGGTTTTCTTTGATGCCAGAAAGAATGAAATCCTATACAGGCACTTTTTAAAAGCTGCTTCTGTGGAAGTCTTCCGCAAGCCTGTTTCTGGGAAGTGTCCAGCTGAGTTTTGCAGGCTGAAAACAAGGAGGCATTTCAAGCACTTTAAAATCTAGCTCCTCTACACCTCCTACTCTGTCAGGTACATCTGATTTTGTGGGGCTTCTGCTTTGCATAGCTGAGCTCTATTTTAGCAAATTGGCAAAATTGCTGAATTTCAACAAGCTTGTTTAAAGCAAGATTTTGCATCCTCTGCGAGCCACATGCACAGTTGGACTGGTGTGAAAATTGATGCGTTTGGCCAGTTATTTGTGTAGAGCGCCTGGTATAATTTTGAGCTCATTCAATTAAAATATTTCTGAGGTACCCCTGTTCCTGCCACGGTGAGTTTTTGAAAGCGTTAGGTCATTTACAGTGATGCCTTTTTTTTTTTTTTTTTTTCCCTCTTTTCTTTCATAATGAAAGACGA